AGATTTAGACTGAACATTAGGAAAGAATTTTTCAAAGAAAGAGTGGTTGGGCATTGGAATAGGCTGCCCAGGGAGGTGGTTGAGTCACCATCCCTGGCAGTGTTTAAGAGCCGTTTAGATGTAGTGTTGGGGGATATGGTGTAGGGGAGAACTTTGTAGAGTAGGGTAGATGGTTGGACTCAATGATCCCAAGGGTCTCTTCCAACCTAGACAATTCTATGATTCTATGAAGAAAGGGAACATCACACTTCAGGCACAGCAGCCTGTCTCTCCAACAAAAAAAGCCATGCCTGCTATCACCAGCACTGTAAACATTCCCCCTCCCATCACCACTGGCCTGTGCTATAGCACTGAGCTGAAAAGCCAAGTGCCAGATAGAAAGCACACCTCAAACTGATGCTCAGCTGCAGCTGAGCATCACCAACATGCTGGTAAGCGTCACCAACAGCCCTGTGACACCACAGCAAAGTCCTCCAAACTGTTCCTCACATCTAGGGCCCTTTGATAAGATAAAGCAGTGCCCATCTGTACTGCCAAGGGTCTTCCCAGTCCCTTCCCTTCAGTCACTTCCCACATGGCAGCGCTGTGGTCCTCAGTCAGCAAAACCCAGCCCTTATACCCCCCACGCTCCTTGTTTGAGAACTTGCAGCTTCACCCCCTACACCATACCTCTCATTGGTGAACTTTGCCTGGTGCATCTCTTCTCCATCAGTACACTCAGTACCAAGGCCCTGAAAAGCAAAACTGGGAAGTTTAGCTCTGCTCTGGATCAGACAGAGCTAACAGTCATACCAGATGAATTAAGGGGAACCCAGGGCTCTGCAAGGGGAAGGACTGGAGCAGGGACAAAATGGTCTTCCAGAAATTGTGGCAAAGAAACCAGATCTCATGGACAGCAGAGGTTGGTGAGACTGACAGCAAATGTCTAAATGAAGTCATATCTGCACACACAGAGCTGCCTGCCTCCCACTCTCACCCACAGCTCTTCCACATCACCCAGCAGCCAGGAGGGCAACTGTGCTGCATCATGGAGCTCCTCACCTTTGGTAATGTGCCAGATGCCCCAACAAAGAGACAAAGGAAGAACCTGAAAGAAGAAGAGTAAGGAGCATGAAGCTGGGATTCAGCATGTGATTCCCAATCCCCAAGTAAGACTGAGATTGTTTACAACAGAGTCAGATCTAAGATGTAATCTCTGTCCAGGACTGTATCACGGGAGAGAGAATAGCTTGGAAAAATCACTGCTAAACCCAGACCTCACCCCAAACACACATATACACAGAGACAGAGGACTCACTTCTTAGCTTTGGCGCTGTTGGGGTAATCTACCACCATTCCCCCAGTAAAGCCAGCTCTCATGGCTTGGGCTGTAATTAGCTCCAGCTGGAAAAAAAGCACATGCAAAAGTTATTTAGCGGTCATCCACCAGCAAGGCCCAAGAGACCTCTGGGCTCGACCACAGCTAATTGTGCATGCCAAAGATGGGTCATCCCCGCTCCTGTTAAACTCTGCACCAAGCTTCCAGTGCTGCAGTACTATCCAGACACCCGTCCACAGCCTTTATTTGGTTGTCCCTGTCCTCAGTCTAGTCTGGGTTAATTGGTGCAGACTCTCTAGGAGAGGGATACTGGGCTGGATTTTCCAGCGCTGGGGAGTTACAGTAAAGTGCTGAGACTACAGGCCAGTCTTCAAACCCAGTCACACAGGGGAAAATCCAGGACAGCAGATTCAGACTGTTCCAAATTTCTTTGATTTTAAGGCTCAGCCCATGACAATCTGAAGTGACAGAAATTGCACAGGGCATTCTCCTTATAGGTTTTTTTGAGGCTCTTGAAGCACTTTACAGATGGAGGGAAGGACAGAGACACAGACCCAATGCGGAGAAACATGATGCTTTCAGAGCACATGACTTTTCTGCCTGGCTCTGCCCGTACCTCTTCCCCATAGACTGATGTGCTGTACCTGTTCGGAGTTCTCAGGGTACAGCTGCAGGACAGCACGGGATCCTCGGGCCTACAGGAAATAAAGGTGGTCACAAACCTACCTCAGTGCAGGCAACCCCTCTAAATCATCCAATTCCTAGCCCAGACACTAGTGCCCACCTCCCCAAAGCCTCCTGGAGAACCCTCCCAGGAGAGCTGCTCGGACTGCAGAGCCAGCTCCTCCACAGCACAGCAAGGCACGGGGGTAAGAGCTGGGATCAGAGAAGCACGAGATACCATGCAGGCAGGCAAGGAGATAGGAAATGGGTGCTCCTGCCAATCCTCTGTTTGAGAGCAGCATTTACTTAAAATACTTGGCTTAAAATATCTTGCTAAAATGCACCCGTGAGGATGTACATGTAGGCAGAGGCCTGACTGGGACAGCATGACACTTACCAAGGCAGTATAAAGAGTTGAGAAGAATCGATACAGGCGTTTTGGAGGGCTGTGTGATTTCTTATCAGCATTACAAAGCCACTGCACTGCAGAAATACTGAGGAAGAAAACAAAACCCCCCGGACACTGAGCCATCAATTCTTCCACAGACACCTCCCTTTGAGCTTACTTCCAGCACTAAGCATGAGCTAGGCTTCAGGGAAATGATTTAATTTTCTGTGTAACTTTGCCTTCTATTTTGCAGTTACACGAACCCCTCTGGAGACTCACTATGCCAAAACCCAACAAGGCCCAGTAGTTATTCAAGCACAAAAGCATCCCTTTTAGGCCAGGTGAGCAGATAATTCAAGACCTTAAGTGTGGCCCTTGCATGGCCATGCCGGTTTTGCCAATGAGCAATCCCAGAGCATTCGGATCAGTAACCTGCTCCTTCCCAGCACCTTTCTGAGGTATTCTCTAAGCAGAAAAGTGTTTCTGTCCCCTTCACTTAGCCCTTCATCCCAAAAGCAACCATCAAGCCTATGATCCAGGGACTAAACTTGCAGCTGAGCAATAGTACAGACATGCTTTCTGTTTTCCTCCTTGGAGCAGGTCTTAACCCTCCTGACAATATCCTCAATTTTATTTTATTTACTTCAATAAAATTCCTAGCTCGCCAGCAAAACAGAAGACAAGCATCACTTGGGAAACAGCTGTCAGAAGCTGCTTCTACCATCCAGAATCTCAGCAGCTTGTCCCAGAGATGGGTAGTCAAGTTGGATGGAGCAACTGTCCTTATCAGTTGCACTCATCTGTTATGCACCATATACAGACCATATGTAATGTACAGACAATGCAGTTATGTGAAGTGTCAAGAGAGCTCACTTATACACACACACTCACCTGATACAGCCGTCAAACGTGCCAGGCCTGAAGGGAATGCCATGACCCACATCTGCAAGAAGAAGGTCTCCTTCCACCTCTCTCTCCACAGCCACATCTGCATAGAACAGAGCATCGCTCCGGCAACCAGCTCACACCTTTGGGGACCGCCTCTGAAGTGAGGCCAGGCTGGCAGGGGAGGAGGACCTGCTCACCCAGCATGGCAGGGCTGATGTCCATACCGATCCAGTAGTGACCCTCGTCAGAGATGTAATCCCCACTCAGCCCAGAGCCACAGCTGAAGGGAGGAAGGGGGGAAAATGCAGAGATCACGGGCCTGGTCTGAGGGTGACCCTAGCCAGCCACAATGCTACAGCAGCCTGTCCTTCTTCTTCTGCCCATAACAGAGAGATGCTGGTGCCGTGGGGCCTGGATGCCTCTCACCCCTGGGCACCAGTCCAACCCCAGTGCCGTGGCCGGCTGAAGCTCCAGATGCCCCGTGTGCCACGACACAGGGCAGGACCCCTGCTCACCCCACATCCAGGAGAAGGCACGGCCGGTCCTCAGGCAGTCCCAGCAGCTCCACAGCCCGCTCTGACATCTGCGATTGGATCTCCACCACCCGGGAGCTGCAAGGCACGGCCAAGGCACAGGCAGCAGGAAGAAACCCCACAGCGCGACGCCCCCTGCCACCACCACCTCACGGGAGGATTTCACAGACACCCCCACCATGGCCCTCACGGCAGGGTTATCTCCCCCCCGCCTCACGACGGGAGCTCCTCTTTCCCCATGGCGGAGTTATCCCCACCTCGCCTCACGGCGGGGTTACCCGCCATCTCACAACGGGACTCCTCCGCCGCTGCCACACCGCGGGGTCGTGGTCCCCAGACCTCGCAGCTTACACCACCCCACCTCACCGGGT